CGGCTCGGCACTGTTTCCTCAGAAGGAAGGAGGATGCAGAGGACCCAGCCTGGGGTTCGAGGAGCCGAGCGCGGCGCCCAGAGCGGCAGTGTTCCTCCTGCCACCGAACCAAGGTCTCAGGGAGGATAATGCGCCCTGTCGACCGTCCGGGCACGCCACGCCTGGCCCGCCAAGAGGACTTTGGCCGCAGCAATCCAGAACCTGCTCCCCGGGGCAGAGTCGGGGAAGGGAGCCGGCCCGCCCCTCACGTGGCCCCGCCCCAGTCCCTCTGGTCCCTCCCCCAAGTCCTGACCTCCCGCCCGGATCAGAGGCTTGGGAGGCCCGGCCGCCGCCTTCCAGGAGCCCAGAGGGGCCCAAACCCGGCAGAAAAGGATCCGCGGCTGCGCTCTCGGGGCACACAAACGCTGTGCCCGAGGTAAGGGGCGCAAGCCAGGCCCGGGGCGGATCTCAGGGCGCAGCCGCCATAGTGAGCGCGGAGAAGCTCGGTGTCCGGGGTCTGGCTTGGCTGGTGCGGATCGCCTGCGGGGCAGCCGCACCCGGATCCCGCGAGTGCGGCCCGGCCAAGCAAGCGGGAAGAGAGAAGCTCCCTTGCGCACGGGCTGCACCGCACACGAAGCCGGCCGGTATCACGCGCGGTGGCGCGCCTCCCGGGACTGCACGGTGCGCGCACACGCGGGCAATGGAGGCCACCTAATGCCCGCCCATCCCCGGCGGCAAGTGGCTTTCTTAGAGGCGATCTGGCGTAGGGACTTGCAGCACCACACCGTAGAACTGCACAAAACGAAAATAGATCCCTGGAGATCTCGGTACCAGGGGACGCAGGGTCCCCGCCCAGAGCCGAGAGGGCTGCTCTCGTCTGCGCCACCGAAATCCTGGCGGCCCGGGTGAAACGGGAAAGTCGTTGCTAACCGCCTGCACCAGGCCCGAGAGAGGTCGGCTGGCAGACACCGCTCCCTACCCGCCTCCCCCGCCAGCCCCGGACACGAAACAGCGGCCTTCAGTTGGTACGCGTTCCCGTCAGGTTCCTAACGGGCAGTGAATAATAGTAATAACTGTCACGTAATATGTGACACCACCCAAGAGAACCAAGGAGGCAACGTCCACGATTGTACTCGGCGCCTGCTCTCCGCCGGCGCTCGCAGTTTACTGCGATCGTATTTGAATCCGCACAACCATCTACGGGGTGGGAGAAGTGCTCACCCCGAGGACGACACCGCGCGCCCGGCGTGCCCGTCAAAAGGCCGCGCTTCTGCCCGCGGCCCCATACGCCCCGTGACTCGGGCTGTCTGCCAGGGTCCCCGACCCCAGGCTCCGGCCGCGCTTTGCGAGGGAGCGGCTGCACGTAAGGTCCCGCGCGGCGTCCAGGCCCGAGCTCCGGGTTCAGGTTGCCTCCCAGGAGTGAGTGCGACCGCACGACCGGGAAATATCCCAGCCCGGCCGAGTACGGCCCCGCGGGCCGGGAGTGGACGGGGACCCGGTCCCCATACACACCACACGCTACCCGGAGGCCCCGGGGCAGGCCTCGCCGAGGCGCCAGCCACTGGGTTGGGAAACAGAGCGGATTCTCGCGGGCCAAGTCTAACCTTCGGCCCGTGGGCGCTGACGTCCCGCTTCTCGCGCCCTCTGCATCCCGGAGCAGGAGGTTCTCGGAAACGTTCTCGGTCCTCCCTCAAACCTGGGACCGTGACCCCGGGAGTGTCTGCCGGCTCCCCGCGCCCTCCCACCGGTGCCTCTGCTCCGAACAGGGCGCACCGCGTGTGCCGAGTGGATCCTCAAATCTGCATTCTCTCGGTGATAAAATATGTTCTCGTATTTTTTTCCTGATTTCCCATTAAAACCTTTGCCTAACTAAACTCCCATCCAACGGGATTTATTTCGTCCCCGGGGAGATAAATCAGGGGACAAATTTACGGCCCGGGAGGGACCCGCCGCGCTAATGGGCGCTTCATGGAGTGCGCGGCGGGGGCGCGCGGACGGCGGGCGCTAGCCAATGGCCGGGCCGCGGGCGCCCACAGCCAATCAGCGCTCGTGGCGGCGGCGCCCATGGACGCTAACCGCCCGGGCGCGTTCGTGCTGAGCAGCGCCCCGCTGGCCGCGCTGCACAACATGGCCGAGATGAAGACGTCGCTGTTCCCATATGCGTTGCAGGGCCCGGCCGGCTTCAAGGCGCCCGCGCTGGGCGGCCTGGGCGCGCAGCTGCCCCTTGGCACCCCTCACGGCATCAGCGACATCCTGGGGCGGCCGGTGGGCGCGGCGGGCGGCGGCCTCCTGGGCGGCTTGCCCCGGCTCAACGGGCTGGCCTCGTCAGCTGGCGTCTACTTTGGGCCCGCGGCCGCCGTGGCGCGCGGCTATCCCAAGCCCCTGGCCGAGCTTCCCGGGCGCCCGCCCATCTTTTGGCCCGGAGTGGTGCAGGGCTCGCCCTGGAGGGATCCCCGCCTGACCGGCCCGGGTAAGTGGCCCGCGCGCGGGCTCGGCGTGGGGCGGGCGCGGGCGCGGGCAGGACCGCTGGCCGCACTCACCGAGCCCCCTCTGCAGCCCAGGCCGGCGGGGTCCTGGACAAGGACGGCAAGAAGAAGCACTCGCGGCCGACCTTCTCGGGCCAGCAGATCTTCGCGCTGGAGAAGACTTTCGAGCAGACGAAGTACCTGGCGGGGCCTGAGCGCGCGCGCCTCGCCTACTCCCTGGGCATGACTGAGAGCCAGGTCAAGGTGAGGCGGCGTTGCGCGGGGCTCGCTTAGCCGCAGCCCGCTCGCTCCCCCGCGTCCTGCGAAAGGCGCGCGAGCGGCCGCGCCGCGGCCGGGGCCGGAGCGGAGGGGCAGCCTGGGGCAGGCCTTGGCGTCCGCGCGGGCGCCAGCGGCTGGCCCAGGCCGCCGAGGGGCCGAGCTGCCGCCGGCGGGTGCTCCGGGGGACCCCGCGTGATGGGCGCCCTCCACCCCAGGTGTGGTTCCAGAACCGCCGGACCAAGTGGCGCAAGCGGCACGCGGCGGAGATGGCGTCGGCCAAGAAGAAGCAGGACTCGGACGCCGAGAAGCTGAAGGCGGGCGGCTCAGACGCGGAGGACGGCGACGACGAGTACAACAGGCCCCTGGACCCCAACTCGGACGACGAGAAGATCACGCGGCTGCTCAAGAAGCACAGAGCGCCGAACTTGGCGCTGGTCAGCCCGTGCGGCGGCGGCGCGGGGGCCGCCTCGTGAGGGCGCGGGGCCGGGCCGGACAACCAGGGTACGGACGCGGGCCGGCGCCCTCGCCAGCCGCCCGCGCCGCAGTGTGTATATATATTTTTACAGAGTAAGTTATACGGCGGCCCGGCTCAGGCTCTGCATCGGGGCCGCCGGCGCCGCGCGTCCCTGGTGGAATCACTTTGTATAATCAATAAATTATTTAACACGTCCCCGTCGGAGCCGCGACTCCGTAGGCCCTTCGCCTGTTTCTTCCCATTCGGAAAGCCGCGGGCGAGGCGGCGGCCCGGCCTCCGCTCCTGCCGGGGACACCGTGCCGGGCCGCTGTCCAGTGTCCAGGCCCGCGGGGCCCGCGCCTTCGGCTTGAAGGGCACCTGGGGCTTGCGCGGGCCGGGCTCGGTAGCGGGCCCGACGGAGGCCCGGGCGGCAGCAGCTCGCAGAAGCGAGGGCGCCGAGAGGACCGGCGCGGGGAAGGCGGCCCCGCCCGGCGGACCCTCGGACCGCCCGCCGAGGGAAGGGGCTCCCGGGCTGGGAGCTGCGAGGAGCCGGACTCCGCAGGCCGGAGCAGAGCGGACGGCGGCGCGGGGCGGAGCAGGGAGCAGGTAGGGCCTCTTGTTCCCTGAGCCACTCCGGCCACCCCGGGGCTAGGGCCCTCCTTTCGCGGCTCCGATGGATGAAGTTTGGGCAGGTTTAAACACATTCCCGGTGCTGGCCCCACCCCGGGTGGTAGCTTTCGGTGGGTGGGGGGTCGGTGAAGGTCGCCTCTGGGCCCCGGCTCCTGCCCACCTGCTCTGGTCTGATTATGTAGATTCAACCCGCCCAGCCTTAGTAGCTGCAGACTTCGGAAGTCGCGCTAAACTCAACATTGAGTGAAATAAATCAGGTTTTAAATTCATCAGCACCATAGCTGATCTGCTGCTATTATTTAGATTTTTTATAGGTAGAAAGTGTGACTTAATTCAAAGGACTACAAAGATATTTTATGGGTAGAAAGTGAGATTTAATTCAAAGGACTACAAAGAGAAGCCCAAAGTAATTCTGCCAGCAGCTCGTAGTTCTCTGGGGGCCCTGGGGTTTGCAGTGGAAGCATGTCTGGCAGCCCCTTGAGCTCCATCCCCCTCCTGGGCAGCTCAGCTTGCACCCCAGGGTGGCCCCACTGGCCAGATCCCCAGGCCCCACCGTGGAGAGGCAGGGAAGCTCTCCTCTCTGGCCTGTTTTTCACCCCTACCTCAGAGGCAAGGATTCTGGTGAATAGCCTGGATCTCTCTGGTTCACGGGAGAACCCCCCCCACCCCCAGACTGGATGCTCCCCATGGTTGCAGCTTCATAGGCATGACTGTGGTGTTAATTTTAAAAGTTAAATATAAAGGGTTATATTACTGTAATATTTATCTTGGAAGTCATTACTGGAAATGTTAAAAGAGTAAAAGGCTGAGTTTTTTTTTTCCACACAACTGCACCAATTTTAAAAACAGATGCTTTCCACTAACTGGTTTTCTTTTTAAGAGAGAACTTTAAAAAAACTTTATGTGCATAAAAACTATTCTTTCAGCTCTAAGTTAGGAGCAAAGGAATTTCCAGTTTTAAAGTTTTGAGGAAAGCAATGCATTTATCTAATTTCATTTAAAAAGTGCTGAGGGGTAAATCCCAGTAGGTACGTACGCAGTAAACATCCCAAAAGACATTCTTTCTCTTCCCCACCACGGCTCCGCTCTGTGACGGAATCGGAAAGGACACGGGGCCTGGGTCGTGGACGAGGTGACCTGGCCTGCAGCCTGCAAAGGACCCTGAGCGCCAGAGGAGGAAACACAATCAGACGTTGTTTTCACCAAAATCAATTTTATTGCTTAGGGACCAGAGCGGTCATTTCCAAAGGCCTCCAGAGTGACCAACAGCTGAAACCCTGCTACACAGAAAACACCGTGGGCCGGAACGGCCGCGCGGCACGTGGACAGAGTAACCACAGCCTGACACACACCCCGATCATTCTCTCGAGGATGCAGACTCGGCCGGTGGACTCCAAACCGCTTGCGACGGATTCACCTAAAGCAAGCATCCCACCCCTACCCCGGCGCCTGCACCCAGCCCCGGAGTTCTGTAGTGTTAAAGCAGATCAATAAACGTCATTTATGTTTCCTCCTCGGGCCGGGCACCACCTCTGACCGCCGGGCCGGGTGTCGGGGGCAGGGACGTGTGGCAGGGTCACGGCAGGCCCCGGGCGGCGCAGCAACCGGGGACGCGTACGGTTTGTTTCTCTTAATAGTTTATATACAGCCCATGTTAAAAGCGGTTTCTATCGGAAGCAGACTAGGCTAGTTTTATTTCTCCCATGATATTATTGTTTTATGTAGAATACTTGGCACCATAGAACAGTAACAAAAGACGGACAAAACGGTTTACAAAATTCTTGAAAGGTACACCCGAGCTAGCTATAAACTTCACATTCAGTTCTTGATATTACACAGAAGGAGGCCTAGGAGTCTGACTGCTGGCGTGAACGCCTCGGGCCGTCTGAGCCCCACTGCGCGGCCGGGCGCAGTCCCGGCTTGACAGCCGTGTGTGGGCGTGCAGGTGACCGGCTCCCAGACTCAGTTCTACTGCTGATATGACACTCAAGCATTCATACTGGAAAGTATATTTAGCGTAAGTTTTGGTAAGGTTTATAAATTATTTTTAAAAAGTATATATTTATATATATTTATATATATAAAAATGGAAAGCAGCTGCAGTGTGATTCAGAAACCATGTAACATGGCATAGAGTGACTAACGGGGAGGGGCCTCCAGAGTGAAGGCGGGGGCCACGTGCCCCCGGTGTGGAGCCTGGCCGGTCCACTCAGCCCCCACCGCAGGGTGACTCAGCCCCGCGGGGCTTCTGCGCCCGAGAAGCTCCTCCGCGCTGACAATGATTAAAAATCGAAAACCGTGACATCTAAAATACAGATCTTTTTGCTGTCTATTAGAGTTTTGGCAACAGGACTGTGACTCGTTAAAAAAAAAAACCCAATGTTTCTACTTGATGCCGCATGGACAGACACGACAGTGAGGTATGTGAGGCTTGTCCGGAGCGCCGTCCGGGGCTGAAGCAGAGTGTGGGGCCGGCCGTCTGGCGGTGGCGCTCGGGCGGGTCTGGACGCAGCTGTCGGAGGACGTGGGCCCTGGTGCTACGGGGGGGTCTCGCCGGGGGTCCCCTCGAGGCGCTGGCATCGCCTCCCTGCCATGGAATCAGGCGTTGGTTACGGAGGCACACACACCGGGAAAAGCTCAGAAAGGTGAACTCGAGGGAAGGAGGCATATTTACCACCACGTCACTGCACCACACAACACTTGTGCACACGTGCGTGAGGTTTACCTGCCCCGGGCGCGATGCGGAAGGCCAGGAACACGGGCTGTGGGGGAGAAGAGAGGCCGTCAGGGCTGACCGTCCACGGCCAGCGGGCCCAGCGCCGGACCCTGTCCTGGGGAGCTGGCCCTGGGCGACCCGAGGCGGGAGGCAGAGGGCCTTCATGCTCCATAGAGACGGCATTACTTCCACATAGAGACTGGTGTAAAAGCTCATCTCAGAGCCGTGATTCACGCCCCAAGAACACAGGGAAGGACGGAGCCTGGCCGGGGATCACGTGGGCAGCCGGCCTGAGAAGGGGAAGCGGTGACCGTCTCTCCCGGGCCACCGGGGACACAGAACCCGTGGCCCCACGCCCCTCAGAGGGGCTGCAGGCTGGGGGCCGGGCAGAGTCTCACGTCCAAGGTTGGTCCCCGAACACTGGGCGGTTCCCTGAAGCTGGGCGGTGACACGAACATCTCCCCCCACCCAGGCGGCAGGGGTGGAGGCCAGTAAGATGCTTGGGTGCAGGCTCGGAAACACCTCCAGAGGGACCAGGGGACACGGTCCTCTGGCAGACACGAACCCCGTCTCGTTCTGCTGTGACCTGCCTTCCTATCTACCTGCCTCACCACCCACTACGTACCTGCTGGTGCTCTATTAAAATCAAACACAGGCAGACTTGGACACATCTGTGAAGCCGGACCAGGAGGCAGAGAAGGGGGTCAGGAGAAGCACCCCGACAGCCCCGCCCCCCCACGCCCCCACACCGGTCAGTCACCTTGTGGTCTCCCATGCAGACGTTGGGCCCGATGTGGTCGTAGGTGACGACCTTCTCCTCGCTCTCCGACTGGGAAAAGCAAACAGAGTTAGAGATGTGGGAGGCAGAAACGGCGGGGGCTTCTTGGGCAGCAGCAGGGACAGCCCCTGTGGCTGTGCCACCCTCTGCCACCCGGCCCACTCCTCCCTGGAGCGCCAGCCAGCTCAGAACCGCCAGTGAGCCGCTGGCACCTAGGAAGGAGCGGCCGGAGGCAGCACTCAGCCCCTGCTCACAGGGTGGGAGGGCTCCGGCCTCGGGAGGGTGGCAACCTTCCTTGGGGGCTGGAGGCAACGCTCCCTTGGGCTGGCGTGGCCTCTGCTCATGGCCATCAGGGCAGATGGGAGCTCTCCTTCCAGGTGTGTTCCTGGCACCAAAGAGTCCCACCTGGTCTCCGTTTTCCCCCTTGGCATTTGTTTTTGACCCAGAACTCCGTGTTCACAGGAGAACAGATGCCCCTGAATGCACAGGGCTGCGCACTCAGGCCTCCCCGCCGCCAGCCTGCGGGCGCCACCCAGGACGTGCTGCTGGTGGTCAGTCCCGGCTCCAGCTGGGCAGGGCTTTCACAGCTGCGGCTGAAGCCTCTGAGACCATAAACTGAATTATCCTTAATGCAGTAGGAAGCGTAAGGTCAGCTTTACTTTCCAGCATGGTCGCCTGCCAGGAACTGCGACAACAGACCCCCTGCACACCCATGGTGGCCACAGCGCCTCCCTGGAGTGGGAAGCATTCATCAAATGCAGTGTGGTAATTTACAAAGGCAGCATAAAATTGTGGATTTCCAAGTGTATAATCGTGAGACAGATAAACAGATCACAGCGGGCTCCTCACACCTCCCTGCGCATCCATCACGGCGGCCGCCCCCTCCGAGTTCGGGGCAGGAAGCAGAACCGACATGACGCTGAGCTGACCGAGCGTGGCATGATGGATGACGCCGTGGAAGCCGCGGCGAGGCGGCTGCTGGGCCGGTGACGCCCGCCACCATGGGAGCCCCCAGGGGAGGGCCCGCCGGGGACCCCCTGGCCAGGAAGGCTCTGGGCCCTCTCCACGATGGGCCACCCAGCCAGGCTCCGTCCCCACGAGTCTGCAGCATCAAACCTCCAGCCCGAGGGCGGAGACGAGGCCACTCGCAGGTGGCTGTCTGCCATCCGCCTTCCTGGACTCTGCAGCCCTGGGTGCCTCCTGACACCAGGCACTCCGGCTGTCCTGGTGGCTTCACCGCAAGATGCCTTTTCCTTGGAAGACGACCCTCACCTCCTCTCTGCCCCGATGAGCCCGCTCTGGCCACAGCTCGGGGCTCCGCTGGCCCAGTGCGCTCAGAGCCGGCAGATGTGGCCCACCGTGTCCACTGTCCACTCTGCTTCCTCTCGGCCCATCATGGAGTCCCGGGGGCAGGCCCAGCAGGGGGCGCGGGGCTGAGTCTGAGGCCACACCGGTGTGCAAGGTCTGTGTGGTCAGGGCCCGTCTGTCCCTTGCGGCTTACGTCGTGAAGGCTGCTCGTGGGAGGGCCCACGGCCCGTCCTCCGTGCTGGGCTCTGGAGGCCTGCCCGCCAGCTGTCCAGCCAGCCCCCAGGCCCCGTTACGGCGCACTCAATGCAGCCTCCGTGCACCCAGCCCAGTTCAGGAGGTCTCTCCCCGGGAGCTGGCTCACAGCAGGGCATCCAGGGCTGCCCGCCCCGGAAAGGCCAGCAAGATCTTCCGTGGGGGGGCCACCGGGCCGCTGGTGGGGGTCGGCGTGCACCTGGCTGGTCCCAGAAGCTCTGCCCTCCCGGCTGCGTCTCTGGATGAGGCTCTGGCCCCGGGGGCAGACAGGACTCCTCAGAGCAACCGTGGGGGCCATGCAGGCTGGTGACCAGAGCCCCGGACGTCCTGGGTTGAGGTCAAGGGACCACCCGCCCCATCCTGACTGACTGCCCACGTCACTCAGAGGCAGGACTGCTGCCCTCATGAATCAATGCACTTCATTATGGTATTTTTTCACTGATGGGGTTGACAAAACCAGTGCAGATATTGATTCTTGAGAGCAGTCCTTTTGTGTTAAACGCGGACACTGAAAACCCCAGGAATGGAGAGGCTACGGGAACTGGAGCCCCTGCCCCGCCCCCGCCCCAGCACTGCACGCAGCCTCCAGTCCGCCGCGTTCCTGTGACTCAGCTCAGATTTACAACTGAAGGAAATAGGACGACTTCACAGCTCAGGAGCTCTTTCGAGGACAAGAGCCCACTGACTTCTCTGAGCATGCAATAAACTGCAAAGACTCCTGACTCCCGTTTGCGCAGTTTTGACCCCAGAACCTGGGCTGCATCCCAGCCGGCGGCAGGAGGGAGCCCCCAGGCCGGGCCCGCCCCCCAGCCAGCCCGCCCCGCCAGCGGCCCTCCAGGCCTCACTCACCCTGAGGATCAGCTCCTTGGCGGACGGGGACATGAGGACGCGGTCACACCAGGCGGGGCAGCGGGTGTTCATGTACTGCCGGCCCTGGCTGCAGTCCTCGCTGTATGGGTAGCTGGGGATACAGGACAGGCGCGGTCAGCAGCCGCCCGCCGGCTCCCCTCCAGCCCCTCCACGCCGGGGAGGCCCCGCAGCCCGCACCTCAGAAAGGCCCAGCCTGTCCGGGGGACAGAGAGGCGACAGAAGCTTCCAGAACCGAGTCCCACACTGTCCCTCCCGGCATTCAGATAAATCCCCCCACGTACATGGCTCGTCTTCTCAACTTGGCTTTGCTTCTGGACGCAGCCTAAAGCACAAACCTGCAGGATGTCTATGGACGGCTGGCTGACCCGCTCCTTTGCCCTCAGCATGTGTCCTGTGCCCCTGTGTGTGGGAGGCCTGGACCAGCTGGACAAACGTCCTGGTCCCCTCCTAAGCACCAGGCCAGGCACACAGCCTTCTTGGTCAAATATCACCATTTTAAGTTCAGTTCAGTCATTCAGTCATGTCTGACTCTTTGTGACCCCATGAACTGCAGCACACCAGGCCTCCCTGTCCATCACCAACTCCCGGAGTCCACCCAAACCCATGTCCATTGAGTCAGTGATGCCGTCCAACCATCTGATCCTCTGTCGTCCCCTTCTCCTGCCCTCAATCACCATTTTATATTTATCATTACAGACAAGAACCTACACATGGTCCGACTCTGAATCAGGGACCATGGAGGAGTCCAAGAAGCACTCCCTGACCTTTAACACAAAGGTGGACCTGTCCGCTGCAGGGAGGCAGCCCCTGCTGGCCTCATCTGCGCGATGCATGCTGTCCCTGTGTTAAATGCGTTTTTGTTTTTCACAAAAGTGAACCCTGGAGCTTTTTCCATAATAATTTGTCCTGTAAAAGCATCTCTCCCCACGTGGAGCACTCGTCCATACTTAGGAAGGGATGAGTCCCTGTGGAGAGTTAGACACTCCGCCTGGGCGGAGCCAGGACGTGTGCGTCTGCCCAGTGTGTTGGTCACAGTCGCCCCGAGGCACACTCCTGGGCAGAGCCCCACGCAGGGGGCTCAGCAGCCCACTCCCAGCCCGGGCGTCTGACCACAGCCAGCTGCCCGGGACCCTGCTTCCTGTTTGCTCCCAGACCCGTTTCAGCAGCAAACATCTATCCACTGTTGGAGGCGTTTTGGTTACTTTAGGTTTGGGGAGTTCTTGGCTGTGATGGGTGGACCCCCAGGGGCCCAAGACCCTGTTGGGGGCTGGACGGTAATCTCTGTGCTCGTGGCTACACAGACATGCTACCTGCTGTTGTCACGGTGCTGGCAGGGCCCCGCCCCACACCGCACAGGCAAAGCCATGGGAATGATTCCTGGACTGGATCTTGAGCCTGTGAGACCCGGTTTAGGAGTCGGTGGGAGGAGTGGGGAGCACGTGGAAGGTGGGACCCTCAGACCTCAGGGAAGGGAGGTTTGGAAGGGGCTGTCCCGAGGGCAGGGGTCAGGGCAGGGCTGCGTGGGGGCGAGGAGAGCCTTCCATGTCACGGGAAGCTGCTGCCGCACCTCGGTGGGAGAGCTCGCTAGGCTATCTCACTCACACTTTGATCCTTGTTTGCAAGCCAATGCCAGTGCAAGCATTGGCATTGCAAGCCATGTGGAGTGTGCTCACTGCTGGGATGATGAAGGCAGAGGTAGAGGCGCTGATAACCAGGTGTGCCAGCCAGAGAATGCCACCCAGTGCCCCTGCTGTCACAGCAGCTCCTGCCTGCTGGCACCAGCAGTGCCAACGGTGCATGATTCCCTGGTTGACAGGCTGGATGCCCTCAGGTGGCCACTGTCTCTCAGGCGGACACTGTCCACCAGCCTCTGCCCCCAGGAGATGCCGAAGCTGGGCAGCCAGTGGAGCACAGGCCGTCTCCACAAATGCCGAGAGCCTGCAGCCCTGGAGCCCAAGAGCCTCTGTCCTGACCACCTGGCTGAAGTGGGAGGAAGGACTGTTTTCACAGAACAGTCATGAGGATGACGCGGCCTGGGGAGTGTGGAGCGGAGCTGGCGTGGCTCTTCTCTGTGACTGAGGCCACGTGGACAAACCAAGACGTGGTCTCCCTCCCTGGCCAGTGCTGCTTCTGGACAGATCCCCCAGGGTTCAGCCACAACAGAACCAACAGAGCCAGGAGGTTCTGCCTTTTAACCACAGAGGGCAGCATGGTAGAGCCCAGGCCCAGGATGCCCTGAGCTGGCAGATGTGCCCGAGGAAATCCCCGCACACCTGGCAGCACACCCACCAGGTACACATGCACCCAGGAACACACGCACCCAGGTACACACGCAACCAGGAACACACACATCCAGGTACACACGCACCCAGGAACACACCCACCCAGGTACACACACACCCAGGAACACACCCACCCAGGAACACATGCACCCAGGAACACACGCACCGAGGAACACACGCACCCAGGTACATACCCACCCAGGAACACACCCACCCAGGTACACACCCACCCAGGTACATGCCCAGGCAACACACTCACCCAGGTACACACCCACCCAGGTACACACCCACCCAGGCACACATTCACCAGATACACGCCCAGGCAACACACTCACCCAGGTACACACGTACCCAGGTACACACCCACCCAGGTACACATCCACCCAGGCAACACACTCACCCAGGTACAAATGTACCCAGGTACACACCCACCCAGGTACACACGCACCCAGGCAACACACTCACCCAGGTACGCACCCTAGCCATACACCCAGGAAACACACATGTATACACATACACACATGAGTTTTGTACCACATGCACAAAAACTCATGAACACATCATTCACACACCCCACATAAAAATCTACACACATGCCAATACCTGTCTGCTCATATGTGAGCATACCATGTACATGTGCACACGGAGCTCATGCACACACACACACACACCTATGCAATGCACACCTGTACACACTCATGTATTCACACGCACACACCACACACAAGCCCATGTATACACGTACACACGGACATGTACATACACACCCCACACCCATAAGACACGCTGCATGCACCCCTGCACACATACCCACGTACCCACACCTGTGCCTGTGTAACCATGTCTGCATACACACGTGCATCCACACCATGTACATATACTCACACCTGTGCACACCCACGCCCGTGCACTATGGATACCATATACACACATGCAGACCTATGCACTGCATAGAGACATGCGATTAGTCTATAACCCGGCCACATGTATCCTGCACAGACACCCACACAAGTACATACTGCACACACATGCACTCACACCCATGCGGGGCCACATCAGGCACATGTGCTTGCTGACATAGTGCACACAGTGAATACACCCATGCACGATCCTCTGTGCACACACCCTACACTCGTGTGCATGGGAGCTCACGCCTGCACACACACAGGCAGCTCTCCTGGGATCACTTATTTTCTGGTAGTCAGAGAACACATCTGGGTACCAAGTGGCCACCATTTCTAACCACGTCCCCGCAGCTGCTTCTGCTGACACGTTCCCTGTGTTGGGACAGCTCTCCAGACATGGGGCTGTGAGTGCCACCCAATGGTCAGGAACATGGTTTTAAACATGAGGGAACAAAATGGAGGGGATGGGTGTGACCAGGCACTGGAGGAGGGAAGGTGGGTGGTCGGGGAGGGGTCAGTGGGGGAGGGGCCGTGACCTGGGCTATGGGGGAGGGGCCGTGACCTGGGAAGCGAGGGAGGGGTTGATGACCTGTGGGGTGGCGGGGGGTGGGTGGCCCTGCCTTGGAGACTCGGTCCTTGCATGCAGGCTGGGAGGTCAGGGGCTGTGAGCGGGGACCCTCAGCTCAGGGAGCCCACGTCTTAATCTGTAAACCGTGACCTTTCCCAGCTTAGAGAACCTGAAATGCTACTTCCCAGTTAAACGGAGAAAGTCTGACCCCTTGACCGATGGCCGTCCCAGTGGCCCCTGCCCCCTGTCCCTCCCCTCAGGGGGCGGCCCCACCTCCAGCCAGAGAAAGGTCTCTGCTTGCAGGGAGGGGACACCGTCCTTGGAGAGCTGGCACGGCCCTAACACGCCGGCTAGGTCACAGGACGTCCATGGTTCCAGGACGAGGGCAGGACGTCTCAGGCTGTTTTCCTGCCGCATGAGCCCATCAGGCCTGAGGCAGGTGAGACCCAGAGGGCAGGTGATCTCCGGGTGCCCACAGCCCGGGCACCGCCCTCCCGTGTGGGAGTTCCACGTGGCACCAAAGCATCCCCACCCCCAATGATCCGACAGGATCTCAGGGGCCAGGCCACGCCCCTCCTGGGGGCCACGCCCCTTCCCAGAGCCCACCCCTGGGGCCTGGCTGAACCCCGAGGTCTGTGCAGGCCAACTGGTCCCTCCCAGCCCTGACATGCCTCTCTGCTGCCCGGGGGGTGGGGGCTCGTCCCTCGGACCACAAGGTCCTGGGGCTCCTGGCGGGTCCGTCCCCCCACGCCTTCTGCGCTCTGTGCCTGGCTGAGCATCCAGGCTGCGGGGTTTGAGAAGCTCACAGACAGGGCTGCTCGGGACGCAGACGCCCACAGGTCCTCCTCCTGGCCGGGCCACAGCCCATGTGCACCCTGATCAAGTGGGAGAGACGCCTGGGACCCCTGCACCACCCCCGGACAGCAGGGGAAACCAGTCCCTCAGCACGGCCATGGCTTCCAGCGGGCCTTGGCGGCGTGTGTCACCACACACTTAGTTGTTTCAGTAGCGTTACAGCCCAGGGATGATGCGGCGGGGCAGCTCCTGGACACGCGGCTAAGGCCGCCTGCTTGGTCCCAGCTGCCGAGCCACCGGCTCCCGGGCATCGGAGCACCGACAGTGAGCGGCAGGTGCCCCGCCATCTCAGCCAGTCTGGACTCACAGGGAGTCCTGGGTCCAGTGGACGTCTGATGTCTGGACTGAGACTCGGGAAGAAGGCTGAGCTCCACGGGGAGTCAGGAGGACCTGTGACGCGGATCCGACGTGTTTGCCTCCCTCGAGGCCTGGCACAGACTTGGTGGGGGCAGACGGTTCTCTCAGCCCCACCCGCAGCAGCTCCCAGCAGCCCTGCTCCCTGAGGACGATGCCCTGAACCTGCCCAAGGCCCATTTTCTCCCAAGGGGTAAGAATTCCCACTTGGAATCTATAAAAGGACAGAGGCGGGGGGAGCAGCCGTGGGGGGCGTCCGTGTCCTGCAGATGGGCGGCTGAGCGGGCCGAGGGTCCTGGGCCGTTTCGTAACCGGCTGTCTTTCCCCGCACCCCCACCCTGCCCCTCTGCAGCCCCGGGCAGGTCAGGAAGGAGCAGGCTGCTATTGCTGCGGATTTCAAGATTCCATAAACACCAGAACAAAACACCACAAAAGCTCACCTACCCGAGAACGACAGAACCAACACCTGCGTCCCAACGGCCCCAGAGAGATCCAGAGCTTGGAGCTGCCTCAGCGGCCCCTCGTAGGCTCCTCTGGGAAGCCGTGTCGGCACCCAGGAGAGCAGGCCCCTGCCACGCTCTCCAGGCTGGGGGGGGCGGGAGGAGGCATGGGGGGCACGGAAGCGTGGAAGGGAGGTTACCTGCACGCCAGCGAGTGGACGGTCCTTACCTGGGAGGGAACGAGATGTCCAGTTCATACAGTCTGTCCTTAAACACAGACAGCTCTTTGTCGAATTCTAAGAGCTGAGGGAAAGAAAGAAGACAAGGGTCGCTTGGGCTTGCGTCCCTGGGGGCACCGGGCAGCCTGGGCAGGGACACCGTGACTTCCGACCCCAGCACCTGCCCTGCACACCACCCGGGCAGTGAGTGAGGGCCGCCAGGCGTGTGGCCGGACGGTCCTGCGGGCCCCGGGGTGAGGCCCGGCGCTGAGCGGCCGGGGCCGCCTCGCCCCACTGAGCGCGCAGGGTGCAGCCACGGCCGCGCTGAAGTCGCTCTGAGGTGCCCTCGCCCGAAGGCCGAGTCCAGCAGCGGGGATGCTGTCCTGCCCCAGTGGAGCCAAACTCTCGCGCGCGGGCCTCACCGGGAGGACCGCAACTGGGACTGGCCTGACGGGCTCCTCAGAGCCACACCCACGGGCGCTGCACCTCCAGTAGGCAGGGCCTGCAGCCACGCGTGCCCTGGGCACGTGGTCACCGCTTACGCCCTCGGCAGCGCGTGGGAGCGTGGCATCCCACAGGCCCGAGGCCACACCGTCCCCTCTCCTCCCGCGCCCTCAGCCCTGCAATCCGCAGGCCACGTGCCCAGCAACCCTGGGAGCCAGGGTCGACCTGAGCCACATACCGAGCCCGCGGGCAGCAAGCCAGCCCTCAGCCGGGCCACTCCCCTCGGGTGGGTCAGAGGGAAGCAGGCCGAACACCTCCCGGCAGGAGCTCCTGGGGGTGATTACGGGGGTTTGGGAGGGGACCGAGGCTCCTTCTGCACAAACAGGACGCTTCAGACACAGCTGCCTGATCCCAGTGGCCACCAAGCCCTGACCCGGCCTGGTGAGGCTGGAGGCTGGGTCCACGGCTGCCACCGTGAGCCCACGTCTGCTGCTAAGAGGCACCGGCGGCAAGCCTCGCCCCACTCGGCACCCATCATGGCCCTGCTGGGGGCCTAGGGGTGCAGGGCCAGAAGTGGGGTGCAGAGAGGGTTTGGGGGGAGGAGAGGCACAGGGCGGGGGCTGTGAGGGGGTTGGGGCACAGGGCCAGGGCCTCTTAGCTCCCAGGTGCAAGCAGCCTCCGGCCCCCACCACCAGGGAGCAACCGGGGCCAAACAGCTCCTGGAAGGTTCCGGAGTCAGTGTCTCAGGGTGCCTGGGCTGGGGAACAAGCCTGCAGGGAGGGCGAATCATGCACATGGGGCCGGGACCAGCTCTGAGTTTACACAGGTTTGCACACACGTGTGCGTGGCGCAGGATGCACCCCCACAGGGCGGTGGCAAGCATGTCATCCACAGCCTCCCAAGCGTGAATGCTTGGCCTTCTCAGCTCAGGAGGAGGACGGCCCTGACCCCCACGGAGCCCGCCAGCATCTTTGGCTCATTGCCCCCAGAGGCCCGCTGCCAGCATCCTTCCGTGGGGGGGGGGGGGGTGGTCTGGCGCTGGGGTTGCTCTCAGTATTGGCATTTGGTGTCCTGCTCTGGACGCCCCGAGCTCTTGAGGACCGCGCCTTCCACCCCCGCCAGCTCCAAGCGTCCCTCTCGTGTCCCGCCCACGACCTGCCGCACAAGCCCCATGCCCGGCGCTCCGTCTGTCCGGACACTCCGCTCCCCCGGGCAGACTCTCCCATCCCTGGCTGCTGCGAGAGCCGCTTATGTGTCTTCATCTGCCTGGATTTTTGGATTTTTCAGCGTACGGTGTTTATGTTCCTGATTCTTTCCTGTTTGCTTTATAGTCTCAGAATTTTTATCAAGCACTCCGTGGTTCGACCTCTTGGATTCTCGCTTCCGTGGAGGGCTTCCTGCTTGCGGTGTCCCTGCGGTCTTCAGGGCTCCCTGCCTCACCTCCGCGGGAGGCCAGCACACCGTTTCAGGAATGATGCTGCATTTCTGTTGAAATGGTAATCTGTATCTCTTTGAGATTTTTCACAGCCTGATAACCAATTTCACATGTATCTTAAACATTCTTCTTGATTACAAAGTGAGGATCAGCGCGGGGCGTGTGTGGACAATGATGAAGCGGTCGGCCGGCCGGCCGTATCTGTCAGGCGCCGTCCGGCCGTGCGCCTTCCTCTGCGGCGCTGATGAAGGGAAGAGGCCGGAAAATCGATGCGGCGGAGCCGGAGCAGGTGCTACACACACAGCAAACATCTCTATCCAACAGGCCGAGCGCCGGGAACACTCCCGCGCCTGCCCTGGGACAGCCGTGGAGAATTTAATCTCTCCAAATCCTCACCAGGGCACTCCATCCTGCCACCCTGACAGCCACACTTATAATTAATTATACAATTTCGATGGGAATATCGACTAAACAAAGCTATAAATCATAGAAAAAGTCAATAGGCATGGACACATTCAATCATGTCCCGGCCAATGATTACTACTCTTAAAATACAATAATTATTTTCAGAGCCAGCTTGAATTAAATTTCTGTCAGGCGGGAACAAGACCAGTGGTTGATCAAGGATGCGATGGACCCGGGACCACAGCTGAGCTGCACATCCATCCTGATGGGCGTCTCACCCTGAAGGTGAGCGCTTGTCCGGAGGCCCTGGGGCTCTGCACGACCGCCTCCTGCAGGGGGCCGCGGTTACCGTGGAGCCAGCCCTTCACTGGGAGGCACGAGGCCTCCACCCCCGAGCTTCCTGACCCGCCCAGGGGGCCCAGGGCCCCCAGAAACCCTCGGGGAGGCCTCATCTCTGCTTCAACTCCACCACGTCCTTCATCTGAGGGGCAGACTCAAACTTCTCCCAGATATTAAAATTAATTTTCCTCCACATTGAAAGAGCACAGTTTCACAGAGTAAATTAATACGGAAATAAAAATTACATCTAAGGCAGTGTCTGTTGTTTCCAGGTGGTGATACGCTTCCCAGGGAGGCCAGCGGGGGCTCTGGGCCCAGGGGCGCCTTCCCTCTGCTCATCCCCCACGATGTGGGACACAGGAGGAGCCCACCTCCCCGGGACCTGAGGGTCCCCGAGGAGCCAGCTGTGCACGGGCCGTGGGCCGAGTGTCCAAGGATACCAGGCGGGTGGAAGCGGCAGGGGCGGCTCGGGAGCGCCTGGGGCCGGGGTGTACCATGCGGCGGCGGAGGCGGGCTCAAACCTGGGCCTGAGGGGATGGCCGTGTGACTGGGCCTGGCTGACCTCCAGGCTGGGAGGGGACGGAGGGGCTGGGGTGCAGGAAGGAGGCCGGGAGGAGGGGTGGGGGCCGGGGGTGGGGTTAGACTCAGGTGGTGGAGAGTCCAGGCCCCAAAGCCAATGGACAGGAGAGATGAGGGGTCCCGGCTGGTGACAGGGGTTTCCCAGGGGAGGGCGGGCAGGCAGGCAGGGTGGGGGGCTCTGTGCAGGGGCTCGAGACTGGCAGGGTCTGCCAGACAGCTGGACAGCCCCCATCCAGACAGACGTGCCCTCCTCTGGGCACCTGCAGATGGTGGACCCTGCTTGGGGAGGCGCGGAGCCCCCACGGGGCCTGAGGAGACGCAATGCAGAGGTGGTGCCCAGACCCCGCAGGTGGCCCGGCCGCCCAGGGTGCCCGGAGCATGGAGGCCTGAGCCGGGGCGGAGGGACAGACGGGGCCTGAATCCCGGCACGGCTCTGGCCTCTGGGATAAAGACGTCCCTGAGAGGTCACAGTGGTCTTGGTGGGGTAATTGGGAGCTAAAAATGGGGACTGCGGTATAGCTTCACCACACACACACGGGTGTTGGTGGCACGGGATGCCCTTCAAATTCTCAAGATGGTCTCTCCTCTTTCCAAAGGAAGCCCAGGCCTCGGCGGGTGGGCCCTGAACAGAGGGTCTGCATCCAAAGCTGTCAGCGCTCTGCCTCTCACCTGGGGGGTCCCCAGTGCCAAGGGCCATGCTGACTGTCAAAGACAGTGAGGCAGGTGGCTGCAGCCTAGCCAGAGGCAGGAGGCACACCCGTCAGGGCCCAGCCAGAGGTGAGGGGAGGCCCGGGGTCGGCACTCACCGCAGTGCCGTTGTCGTCCCGGAAAACCTCCTGGTTGACGTAGTCAAAGAGCTTCTTCTCCAGCTGGAGCATCACCTGTCGTGGGGGGGGGAGCGTGAGAGCATGGAGCCCCTCCCCAGGGCGGGGCCGCAAGGAGGTGGGCGGGGCTCAGAGCATGGAGCCCCTCCCCAGGGCGGGGCCGCAAGGAGGTGGGCGGGGCGTCAGAGCAGGGGCCCCTCCCCAGGGCGGGGCCGCAAGGAGGTGGGCGGGGCTCAGAGCATGGAGCCCCTCCCCAGGGCGGGGCCGCAAGGAGGTGGGCGGGGCGTCAGAGCAGGGGCCCCTCCCCAGGGCGGGGCCGCAAGGAGGTGGGCGGGGCTCAGAGCATGGAGCCCCTCCCCAGGGCGGGGCCGCAAGGAGGTGGGCGGGGCGTCAGAGCAGGGGCCCCTCCCCAGGGCGGGGCCGCAAGGAGGTGGGCGGGGCTCAGAGCAGGGAGCCCATCCCCAGGGCGGGGCCGCAAGGAGGTGGGCGGGGCGTCAGAGCAGGGAGCCCATCCCCAGGGCGGGGCCGCAAGGAGGTGGGCGGGGCNGCCACGGGAGGAGGGGGGCTCAGAGCAGGGGGCCCTCTCCAGGGTAAGGCCACGGGAGGAGGGGGGCTCAGAGCAGGGGGCCCTCTCCAGGGTAAGGCCACGGGAGGAGGGGGGCTCAGAGCAGGGGGCCCTCTCCAGGGTAAGGCCACGGGAGGAGGGGGGCTCAGAGCAGGGGGCCCTCTCCAGGGTAAGGCCACGGGAGGAGGGGGGCTCAGAGCAGGGGGCCCTCTCCAGGGTAAGGCCACGGGAGGAGGGGGGCTCAGAGCAGGGGGCCCTCTCCAGGGTAAGGCCACGGGAGGAGGGGGGCTCAGAGCAGGGGGCCCTCTCCAGGGTAAGGCCACGGGAGGAGGGGGGCTCAGAGCAGGGGGCCTCCCCAGGGCGGGGCCATGGTGGGGGTGGCTCAGAGCCGGGGGCCCTCTCCAGGGCGGGGCCACGGGAGGAGGGGGGCTCAGAGCAGGGGGCCTCCCCAGGGCGCCTGCCGCACCCTCTGCGCCCACCTTCCGGTCGTTGTCTGACTCGCGGAATATCAGCTTCACGACTTCGTTGGTGTCCGCGGCCCGGACGGTCTGCATCGTGGCCTTTGTGCAGAGAGTCTGGGAAAGACACGGAGGAACTCGGTCGGAGACCTGCCGCCTGGCCGCCCGACCCGGTTCCTCTGCCCTCACTGTCCAGCTGGATTGGGGGCTCACTCTTCCCGACCGCCTGGCCGGCCCCTCTGCCCTCCGTCCAGGCTGCTCTGTGGACCCAGAGGCCCAGGAGGCCCCCACGGCCACGACGGTGAAGGGCAGCCAGGCAGGACCTGGAGGGTGTCAAGGAAGAAGAGGCCATGGGGGGAGGGGAAGGGAGGGGCCCGGCCTCCCAGCGGTACACCTGGTCCTGCCCCACCCTGAGCGTGGGGCCAGGACAGGCCACAGCAGGAAGGTAAACGGGGTCCAAAGTCAGGACGAAGCCAGAGCCTGGCCGGGGGTGCAGGGCAGCACTGGCCAGACCCGGGTGCAGTGGAGACAAAGAACCGCTTGGGAGGGGCTGAGAGATGGCTAGGCTCGGAGACGTATTGGCGAGGACCCGGGGCCACGCAGCTCCCTCGGAACTGTCCGTCCGCAGGGTCCACACAGAGAGGCCGCGGGGGCCAGGGGCCAGAACCGGACTTTGCTCTGTGTGTAAGTTATACCTCAGTGGAACTGGTTTTGTTTTTTTTTTCCATGGTTTTTATGAAAAAGATAAAGAAGACAAGAGTGCCGCAACAGAACAACTGATGTTGACTTGAAGAAACCCTTTCACCCGAGGAGCCCGTGGGGTCACCTTGGGGTGGAGCGCGGGGCTCAGGCCCGGGTGGCCGGCACTGTCGGGGGGCAGGCATTGGCATTCAGGGCACACACAGCTAATCAGGTCAAGCCCCCGAAGTGGCTTTTGGACTCATGTGTCACAAATCAGTCTGGCCGCCTTCAAACAGCCGGATTAGAACAAGGGCCCCAGCAACCCTGCCTGGGCGCGCCCGCCAGCCCGCGAGGAGGCCGGGCCATCCAGATGCTAATGTGCTAAGGGGCTTAAGAGCGGTGAATGGGGAGGCCCGGTGCCGGCAGACGGCTTACTCAGAAGAAACGCATAGTCTTCGCCCAAAGGCGGCTGCTGCAAACTTCTTAAAAAAACCGCTTTATCGCTCCCCCTCGCACGGGCTCCCAGCGGATACACATCTGCCTGGCCGGCCCCTCGCACTCGGCCGCTCCCACACCCGCCCCTTTCAGCTGCAGCCGTGACCGCTCGAGCAGAAAGCCCAGGGCAGGGCCTTTCCGGCTCCCTTTACAGAGGCATTTTCCTCTTTTCAAAGGAGAAAAAAATTCCCCAAATGCTGTTTTTGAAGAACCATCTGAGGTTTATTTCGTTATCAGTAGCCGCGCGGAGGCCCCGGAGGGTGACGCGAGGATGTCTGACTGGCACTCGGGGCCCCGGGCTTTTCGCTTGGAATTTGGCGATGCAGCTGCTGCCAAGGATGGGCGCCGTAAGGGCCCCCAGGACGGCGGGGCTGGAAAGGCAGCCTGTGGTGTTCTTCCTGCGTGGCTGGCCTGCTCCCCTTCCCTGGCACAAACGCGGCCTCCCACCCCCGGGTCCGAAGTTCAGTGCAGGCGGAGCCCCTCGGGCCCCAGGAAGTGAGCCCGTGAGTGTGGCCTTACAGAACCTGCTCTGATCTCTGTCAGACGAGGGGCCGAGGGGTGGACAGCCAACCCCACGCCCGAGGATGGGGGCCGCCGCCCCGGGGTCAGCCAGGAAGCTGGTCAGGAGCGTCCTGGTCAGAGTAAGGCCTGACCTGGGGGGGTCTGTGTTCTGGGTCGAGAAGCGTCTCTTGGGAAGAGTGCAGTGAGCTTTGGTGTGCAGAGGTTGGAGGCACACCAGCTGCTACAAGCACGGGGTCTCTAGGCGGTCAGGAAAAGTGGCGAGGCTCTCACGTGTGCATGCCAAGAGACAGCGCGTGTTAAAACATTGTCTCAGTCTGTGTTTACGACGTCCTGCCAAGTTTTAGACCAGTTATGGCTGTGATTCTGCAGACCCTGCTTCTGTCTGCATCCAGCACACTGGACCGCAGGAGGGGGTCCTCTGCACCCCAATTTCCAAAGGACCTGAAGAGGTTAGGCAGGCGGGCATCTGCGGTTGGCATCCAGAACACACAGCGTGCATGGGGGGTGCGCCTGGGGGTGTCGGGGAGACTGTGACAGAGCTAACAGAGCAGGGAGCCTGGTAGGGGCCCCGCGCAGGCCGAGACCAGGGCGCTCACCCGCCCCAGGCCCCACAGGGCCGCCCGCGAGGGGGCTGGGCTCACAGGACGCTTTCGCCCCTGACCTGTCCTGACCAGACCGGGTATTAGAGCCAGGGGCGCCCTTCCTGCAACCAGACCCCCCAGGCCCCACGTTCCCGGCTTCTGGGAGCTTCCGCGGAGCACCCGGGTCTCCGGGACAGCTGGGCACAGCCAGGCGACCAGCAGCCAAGCGGCGCCCCTCCTGGAACCCGATGTGGGGGCACCACAGTCTCTGTGCAGATCCACCCTGTGCTTTCTGAGCTCAGCGCCCCCACCAGGCCTGCGCCCGGGCATGGGGCCCCGTCAGGCCTGGGCGGCGGCCTCAGGAGAGCGAGTGGGATCACTGTCTGGGGTCCCGATGTGTCGGGGTGCTCAGAGGGAGGCTGGTTCAGGCTCAGCGGGGGGTGGGGGGTGGGGTGTGACTGCCCCCCCCCCCCCCGATGGGGCAAGGGCTCAAACGAACCAGATGAGCCCCCAAGTAGTCTGGCCCCAGAGGCAGCCCGGCTTCGGCTCCTTCTTCGCGCCTTCTCTGCTCATGTGTGACCCTAAGGACACGGTGTGTGGGGATGCTCTCACTGCGGACAGGGGCTAGGTGCCCATGGGGTCCAGCACCCTCACGGTGGGGCCCGCCCGCCACTGGTGGAGGCCTCTCCCCATCAAGGGTGTGGGAGGTGCACCCATGGCACCCTCACCCCTGCCCAGATCACTCAGCTTCTAAGACCTTTGGGGATTAACTTTTTTCCCATCAAATGGGAAGTAAACTGGCCTTCAAATGAAGTTACCAGACAGCAGCTTCCTGAAGTTGTGACGCCCAGCCCCGCAGGGCCTCGGGTGCCTCCCCCGGATGTGGACCCGCAGGAATGACAGCCGGCGGCCCCCCCGGGAGGCCAGCCGCACTCTGTGGCCCATGGACTAGACGCAGGTCCACCAAGCTGGGGCCCATCCACTGCCCAAAATGGAGCCGTGCGTCCAGGGAATGCGGGCCGGCCCCGTCCCGCCCCATCTTCAGCCCTGCGGAGGGCGGGCGAGCCCCTCCAGCCCGTTTCAGCCTCTGAGGGACGGATCTCCTTCTTTCCCGGGGAAGAGGAAGGAGCTGGTTTGAAGAAAGCGCAGGTCCCTGCTGCAGGCCGGCCCTTCGGAACACTCACAGGCGGGGGCCGGGGCGGGGGGAGGCTGGCCATGGGGCCCGCTGGTGGCCTCCATGCGCCTCGCGCCAGGGCTTTCATCCCCTGACAACCTCACGCAGGAAACATGCGGACCCTGTGATAGCGTGAAATCGGAGACAAGGCCGGGGCACAAAGAGGCCAACTGGCTGTGGCCGCAGTCCCCCCTCCAGCAGCCAGCATGCCCCAGGGCCAGCGCGAGGGGCTGCCGGAGACAGCTCGGACAGGAAGCCCATCCCGCGGGATCTAAACGCGGTGCCTGCAGCGTGAGGACCGTCGGCTGCCCACCCACGCACGGCCACTGGCATCCGGGGACCCCTCCGCAGGGAGGCCCGTCCTGCCCCACCTGGGGAAGGACAGCAGCCTCGCTCTGGGCAGCACTGCAGGTGCAGAGAGTGAGGCTGGAGAGGCCCAGACCTTGGACGAGGTTCCGTGTTCCTCTCAGGTCTGAGCGGCCTGGTTGCGCCCAGCCCCCATCCGCCTCCAGCCCAGGACACGGGTGTGCACACGCGGCCTTCTCGGAGGCCCCGGGCTCGGGCTGCTCACGTGGGACTGGGCTCTGGAGGACTAGTCCCTGCTTCCCCACGAGACTGCCGCCCAGACCTGCCTCTCAGGGTGAAGGGCGAAGGCCACCCCATGCGCCCCACTCACAAGTCAGCCTGTGGGGGCTCTGGGCCCGATGCTGGGCACTGACGCGTCACGGAGCGCAAAGCCCCAGACACTGACGGCCAGCGGCCCCGCGGGTCAGGGAACCGGAGCAGCCTCGCCCCCGAGGGAGGGCCCGGGTCCTGGCTGCCAGCGTCCGCAGACGTCCTTTCAGTCTCCTTTCCCATCACACGTACGCGCACACGTGCACGTGGATGCAGAGCACGGCACACAATGACACATGGGAGGCCAGAGCCCTGGTGCGCCTGGCCCTGCTCTGGCTCTGGGCCTCCTGGGTGGCTGGGCCGGCCGAAGGCCCAGGAGGCCACCGTGCTGGCGGGGCCGGGGCAGGGGGTCTGTGGCCAGGGGGCTGGACCACATCGCGGTCTCTGGCGGGCGGGGGGGGGACTCACGCTGTGAAGACCGGTGTCACTGAGCTGCGTCCACCGCTCAGCTGCAGGACGAGGGGCCCCGAGCAGGCACCCCGAGAACAGGGACGCGACACTCCCCACTGGCCTCCAGCTGCGGGCCGGGGTGTGAGGCCACAGGAGGGGCCTGGCAGGGATCCCGCCCGCGGGGATGGCCTCTGTTGACAAACCCCTGGCTATCCGAGCCCGGCGGCCTGACCAACAGACGGAGGGTACCATCCCAGACCGGCCAGGGATGGGAGGCCGAGAAGCGCCCATGCGGGGTCCTCACCGGAGAGCACCTAGCAAGGGTCGCCCTGCGTCTGGAGGGAGCCACTCCCCTCACACCCCCACTCCACACACTCTGACCCTCACAGTGAACACCAACTTTTCAGAGATTTTCCTGGTAGGGCCCTGGGTCCTGGGCCCTGGGAGGAGGGACATCTCTCGAGTGCCTAGAGCCTCAGACTCGGAGGGCCCAAAGCCACGGACCCCACGGGCAGGAGCCACTGGTCTGTTCGCAGAGGCCCCGCCGTGCGGCCGTGCCCACATCAGAGGCACCCGCGCCCTCTTTGTTCTGTGTTGTCAGCGTTCAAGAGAACAACAGCCCCCATAAAGACCCTTTCATCTCTGCCCCAAGATGCTCGCCGAAGCCCTACCCGCCCACAGCGAGGGGACAGTGCCCGCACGCGGCCGGCGGGGCAAACCAGGGGAGCGCGGCCAATCTTTCTGGAAGGGAGCAGCTCGGGCTCGTGTCCAGCAGGACTGGGCGGCTGTGGGTCTGGCCGGGGGCCTGCCACACACCTGGTACGGCCTTCCCCAGACAGCAGGGCTTGGGCCTGCGGGGCCGTGGGGGGCAGGACAGGCTAGGCGAGAGAGCGAGACCCTCACCACCTTCTTCTGTAACCAAGCAGGATGCCCCGGGGCCTCCTGGGACGGACTGGGCCCTGTCCTCTGCCGGCCTCTCGTTTGCAGAAAAATGTCAGCCTCCTAGGCCCTCCCTGAGTTCCAGAGAATAAATTTAACCAGAGAAGTAAGAATATGCAGAGACAGGCTGGGTGGGTTCATGGGGCCTTGCAAAGGGCCAGCCTGGCTGACGACCAGGGGTGAGGCCCCTCCCGGCCGCATGGGAAGCCGCCCTGCCCTGGTCGTAGGGACAGCCAGGGCCAGGAGGCCATGGGCAGCCCGTGTCCTCTTCCTGCCATGGGGTGGGCTCTGCCCCTTCCTGTCCCCCTCCAAGGTGGGCTCCAAGCCATCAGCGCTGGGAGCCTGGCTGCCCCCGCAGCAAGGCCTGGGGCCCCGAGACCGTGAGCGCCGGGGAGGCTGCAGTCTCTGAGGAGCCGCGTCCTCGGCG